ATTATTAGAATAAGTAAGCTCCTAAAAAACTAAGCATGCATGTTATGATACTAAAAATATGAGTTGATTTGTAGAAACGCTCAATAATCATGCAAGAGAAGGAGATATATTTTGTTTTTGAAAATTCATATATATACTAAAAACTCATGTAGTATTTCATTTCCATAAAACACAATGTTTGCTTGAATTTTGTTAGTTTTCTTTTTCATATAAATTAGGGATGACAAAATGGATGGATTGAATGGATATTGATTGGATTAATAATGGATGAATCAAAACAATTCATTAATTCATTAACAATCCACTAAAACTTTCTTTAAAATATCCAATTCAATCCATCCATTAAGAATAAAATTCATCTAATCCATCCATTAACAACATTTTAATGGATGAATATCCCTCTATCTAAAAAAATTAATTTAAATATATTCGTTTTTTTTTTAAATATACTTTGTATTTTCGAATAAATTCGATTTTTTTATATTTTCAAAAAAAAATATTTGATTTTTTGAAAAACACTCGATTTTTTGATTTTCCAAAAAAACACTCGATTATTACGTATTTCTGAATTTTTTTGATTTTCCCAAAAAAACTCAATTTTTTTATTTTCCAAAAAAACTCAATTTTTTAATTTTTCGAATAAACTCGATTTTTTCGATTATCTGGAAAAAAAATACGATTTTCCAAAAAAACTCGATTTTTTGTTTTTTCAAAAATAAAACTCAATTTTCTGAAGAAAAAATACTCGATTTTTCGATTATCCGAAAAAACTCGACTTTTCGATTTTCCGAAAAAACACGACTTTTTGATTTTCCGTAAAAACTTGATATTTCAATTTTTCGTTAAAAAAACTCGATTTTTTCAATTTTTAGAAAAAATTTTGATTTTTAGGAAAAACTCGATTTTATGATTTTTCAAAAAACTCATTTTTTAGAAGAAAAAAAAAACTCGATTTTCAATTTTCTGATAAAACTCAATTTTTTTCGATTTTCTAAAGAAAAAAATTCGATTTTTTGATTTTCCAAAAAACTCGATTTTCTGAAAAAGCTCGATTTTTTTATTTTCCCAAAAGTCATTTTTTCGATTTTCCCAAAAAGTTGATTTTTTTTTATTTTCCAAAAAAACTCGTTTTTTCGATATTTTGAAAAAACTTGATTTTCCTATTTTATGAAAAAACTCCATTTTTCAAAAAAAAAACTATTTTTTTATTTTCTGTCAGAAAAACTCGATTTTTCAATTTTTTGAAAAAAACTTGTTTTTTGAATAAACTCGATTTTTCGATTTTCCAGAAAAATTCACTTTTTTCGAGAAAAAAAAACTCGATTTTCCAAAAAAACTCAATTTTTTCGATTTTCAGAAAAAACTCGACTTTAAATAAAAATCGATTTTTCAATTTTCTGAAAAAATTCAATCTTCCAAAAATAACTCGATTTTCTAAAAAAACTCAATTTATCGAAATTCTGAATAACATAGTTTTCTTAATTTTCAAAAAATATTAAGTTCTTATTAATTTAAAAAAATTAAATTTATTAGATTTAAATAATAATATAAAAATAATTCATTTGATCATCAAAATATGGTGAATGAATTGTATCCAATGGATGAATTTAATCCAATCCATTAACTTTTTATTTAATGGATAGATTGCATGAATTTTTTAGTGGATGATTTAGATAGATTTTGTCTTAATGAATTTAATTACCACCCCAAATATAAACTAATAACCCGTATTGAAAAGCACACAATACTGTTTAAAATGGATTATTGCAGCTTGAAAGTAAAATTATAAATCATTATTATTTACATTATTATCGTTTCGGGAGAGAGTAAAAAAAACATGATTTAAACCTCATAAATCCTAACCATCCACAAGAAGGTACATGAAAGGCACAAATCAAAAAATAATATAGACAAAATTGCAAACGGCTGTGTCCTGCTTGTGAAAGCACCCGAAAGAAATCATATCACAACCGCTTGACATGCTTATTATTGGAATTGTAGTTCTCTTCAATATGGCGGGTGACAAGTGAGATTCCATAATGAGATGCACTTGAGCTTGCATAATAGGATGTCACAGTGAGTTGGGCAAACTTTGGAAGCACATAACCTGAACATTTCATAAGTAACCAATCATATTATTAATGGATAGTTAAAGATTATATAGTATCGTCAACTAACTACTAGATTTTAAATTTAAACAACTTCAAGTGATCGTTACCAACGGAAACTATAAGGCACAACACAAACCAAATAACATTCCAATGTAGATATCAGCATAAACTAAGTAAATAGAGAATTGTTATTGGACCTAACTCAACTCTACAAAACCGACTTTGTAAAGATTAAGTTAGACTCGATACAATTGTATCAAAACCTGATTCAAAATCTATTAGGCCACTTGCTATACAGTTTTCGCTATCCAACCACCTACTAATTATATAACGCACCAAACCCAATAGTGAATGGGTGTGTTAAAAGTCCTATATCGGATGGAATATGGTCCAGAAATATGTTTACAAGTGAAGGCAGTCCAATGTTTAAGAGTTAAGGAAGTATCTATATACCCTTATTTAAACTCACCAAGTCACCGTCCATAAATATATCAATTTTAGTGTCAATGCAATGACAACAAATTTGTAGAAGACTGGCAATTCTGAAAATTTATGCTATGCTATTACGTAAAAGTTCACCAATGTATTGATCTCTCTATATGCCTATGGAGATCAAAATCTATCATAACCTAATATACTGTTATGATGATAATTTAACAACCATTAATCAAGCCACTGTGTACTAAATTATAACGAAACTGATAAAGAGAAGAACTAATTCGAAACACATTTAAAAAAATCAATTCGGGAAAGTAAGGTGCTTCTTTCAGTTCCAACTTTATTGAATGCTTCAAATGTCAAATTTATCAAATAGCAAATTATCCATTCAAAATTTCTGATAATATAATTAGCCTTATTGCAGATTTTGTTTGTAAAAACTAAAGTACAAAAAAACATAAAACACTGAGAAAAGAAACCATGTTAAAGTCAAACTTGTCAAGTTATACAACAACAACAACAACAACTAACTCTTATCCCATTAAGTGGGATTGGCTAGAAGTTGTCAAGTTATAAATGATAAATGAAAAATATCATGAACAAACCCATTGACTTGCTTTGGTGAATTAAGGGTAGGATTGCTGGCAAGAATGTAGAAGAGATGATAATCATCCTCTCAAATGTTCCGGTGGACTGCCATTTATGTGGTAGATCAAAACAAATTTAGAAGAAAAAGCATGAACCAACCTGAACCATAAAGTCACGATTACCAAATTATACATCATCTCTACTGCTAAATTTTGTGATTGGACCAGAGGCATGGCTTTTGTCCATGATATCCCGGTGGTGTAAGGGGTGACTAGCGACAAGTTGGCTGGTTTGAAATTATTTCTGGGCAGGTGGCTGATAGTTGTGGTTAAACTCTCTCATTCAAAGTTCATTGTGGCTGATGATTGGATGAGGTTGTGCGCTATTTGGTTTAAAAAATTTGTTGAACACTCTACTTTCCTCAAACTTGTTCGTAGTTGCTTGTTGTTTCCTACACTCTAATGGGATGATCCTAAGGACAATAATTAAAACATGTCTTTACCAGCAGATGGAATGTGCAATAATTATAAATTTTGAGTCATCTATTCAGACCTTGGGCATTTTCAATTTAAGTTTTATTGAACATTAGTTGTGATTTTATAGTTATGTGGTAAATTTGTATTACTTAATATTTACATATATATATTTAATTGAATGCATATTATAATCTATATTATAATCCCTCTCTTCGCACATTTGACATAGGATCTTAAGATCTATATTATAATCCCTCTCTTCGCACATTTTACTTGATTCCTACCCTCGTAAACCCGGATAGTCTCTTGAGATTGAAAACACTGATTCAGATCAATGTTATTAAGGCATTTCATTACACCAACCCTAAATTCCAGCATAACAACTTGACAGACGACTGACTATGGCCCAAGTAAGGCAACTAGCAAGTATAGTAAACACAATGTAAACCAAAAAAATTGTAGAATACAGAAGTTACTATTTACTAATGTCAAGAACAATAAACTAGAAACACACTGCACTTCATGCATCTAAATATTAATTTAGCAGCCCTAGCACCAGTGAACAAAGAAGATGCAGTCACAAAAAAAGAGAGAAATAGGATAAAATAAAACAGATAAGGGATATAGGGTTTGATAGGCAAGGCCAAACCGGAAGCTTATGGTGGATGCTTAAATTAAAGCATACAAGCTCGTAGGATTAAATTTGACTTGTTTAACAATCCTTCTATCACAAACTTATGACATTTTTGAGAGGCAACAGCGTATAACATTTGAGCTTATAGTTTAGTGTATCGTGTTTTCTATCAATTTATCTCTCGTTATTTTAGTTGAAGTAAATTAAATATTAATTAAAAATATCATTTTATGTCCTTTTTCATTGGTTAATTCAACTACTAAGTTTACCAAAAAATTCAAATTCAATTTGTTAGCTTATATGTTATCAGTTAATTTATCCACTATAAACTCGAGCTATAAGCTAGCTTGACCACTATCCACTACTTTTTGCCAAACATAGTCATCAAGGGATTGGTGAATAAAGAAAAGAATGGGAAATCATAAACTACAGGTTTAGACTTTTAAATTGCAAAAGTGCAGAAAGGGAAGTGTAAAACTTTTTTACACATGCTTCCAATCAAATCACACCATGTAAAATATTTGTGGAGATATTTTAGCAACTAATCTATAAAAATAACACTTTCATGTGATTTGATGGCATGCATGTGTAAAATAGTTTTACACCTTCTGTGCATAGCTATTAATCTCTAAAACAGAACCCTAAGAGATACTCCAAGATACTTCAAAATTATAAATTAATACTAAGAAATAACTTCCGATACTCTAATATAATATATTAAAGATATTTCTAATAACTTAAGATACTTTAACATTACTGCCTGAATCGCCGACCACCGCCATACTTTCCACATATTGTCATTGTTGGTTGGTAGCCGCTGTGTAAAAGTCGCCACAACAAGGCCAACTGCGAGTAACCAAGAACCAAAGGAAGGAAATAAAGGTAATAAGAAATATAGGGGAATGATTCAGACTGCTTATTATATTCGATTTACAAAGAAGGTGTCACCTTAACTGACACAGAGCAAGGCTCCTTGGTACTATTGTGGGCCAATTGATTAGTAAGCTCTTTTACACCCCCTAATACCAACCAATTAGTTTTGTAAAAAAATCTTCCACACCATACAATCATGGCCGACATTATTCAAGAAACAAAAAAGGGGAACATAGCCTAAAATTCAACCCTTAATTATATGAAGCATGAAGCAACTCTACAACTATCATACAGTAGTTGTCAAACATTCAGCAGTGTTTTGTGTTAAAACTAAAGGAAGTAAAAACTCAAATAACCAGGTATGTAAATAGAATTACCTCCAAATGCAGCACTTGCTCCTGAAAATATCAACAATGGAGGGATCTGTGGGAAGAAATTAGAAAAGAAGAAGGTCAGATATAAATTACAATCAAGCTCTATTGTACACCAATGCATCTAATTATCTCAACATTTAAAATCGTGAAGATGAAACCAACTACTATGGCATGGAAATCGGGATCCACAAGCACAAAGCCATGTAATTTTAATTTGTGAAGTACTCAAGTCAATAAAGGTCTACATACCCCAACAAGAAATGGAAGCCACTTCGGTCCTTTTAGACGACTTTGAAGATATGGCAACCCTACAACCAAATATAAAAGAGCAATATCTTAAACAAAGTATGTATTTGGAGTACACTTTAATCCATTATCAAATAAATAACATAATGACACCTTAGGAAGCAAAAAAATGTTCAGCACTTCAGCTTTTCCTACAACTAAATGACCTGAATGATTTCAAAGTAAAGACAATGACACAACACTTTCTTGTCTATAGATATTACATAAGAACGTCACTATTAGATGTATTCTTTTGTAAACTGACAGGTGTCAGCTCATTTTATGTTCTGACCTGCTATTGCAGGTCATCTTTCTGTTTTCCCTGCTATTGCAGGTCACCTTTCTGTTTTCTATAAAAACAGATCTAGATCTTGTAACTACTCTAACAGAAATAGAAAAACAGTTACAAAATGAAAACTCTCTCTCTCTTCCTGCTTTCTAATAGTCAGTTACAAACACTATATCACATTTAAACTCAACCCATACATCATTGAGTAGAGAACCAAACCAAACTAAAGTTACCTCTATTCAAACCATGAACTGCACTAATCATTCCGCCAAACCCAGAGCCAACCTATTCAACCAAAAGCTCACAATAAGCACAAGAAAACTCATACAATAGGAATCTACATAGCATTGACACTCAGATTGAATGCGTATCTAGCATGTGTCCATAACACCAACACAATTTTTCAAATTATGATCGGTGTTGTAGCACCGACACCTCTGAAAAAGGTGTGTCTGTGTCAGTGACATAGTCCCACTTGTGATTACGTCCAATTTATTCACATTTTCAAATCATTATCGGTATCGGACGTGTCGGTATCGGTGTGTGGTGTTTCCCGGTGTCCGTAAGAAATAGTTGACAGGTCAATACCAGGTATCCATAGATAATTATATTATTAGAATTTGAGTTCAATAACACAACCAATAAGTTCAATTCCAAATTATCATTGATCTAAACTTAACTCAGACAGAATATTAAAATTTTCAAAACACAAATCGAAATTATAATACTCACGACGGCAGTGGCATCGTGCAAGACGGGAGTAATAGTCCATTCACCTCTTTCCTAAAGAACCACCCGATTACAAAAAAACAGAGTCAATTTCATTGAAACAAATCATTAAACACCTTATCCGCAAGATAAATAACAAGAAGAAAGAGAGACTTACGGAATTAGGATTGAGAAGAGATAAACAACGAGGGCAACGAGCAGAACCAAGGCCAGGGTTTATGGTTGGATCGTGGTGGAGATTTCCATTTTTCAGTTTTTCTTCGTACACCTCTCTAGTACCCATTCTCTTCGCAAGGATTCGGAGACGGCGATGCTGCGATGCGCGTTAAAATTTCTTTAAATAAAAAAAATATTTTTTAATTATTTACAATTTATAAATAAAGTTATAATAACGTTATAATTTATTATAATTTGTCTTTATTATTAATAATATAGATAAAAAAAATTTATCAATAATAAATTATTTATTGTTTAATTGAAATATATGTATTACTTAAAAATTTAATTTATTTAACTATAAAACAATTTTTTAGTTTCTAATTTATGATGTTAATTTAAAAGGAAATAATTTTGTTAATATTTTATAGATATATATTGCATTTTCATAGTAAAAAATATGAATATAAAGATAACACAATTTTATATTTTTATATTTTATATGTTATCTGTAACACCCCAGTTTTAATTATTTGATTTATTTAATTGGGAATTTATTTTATTAGAATTAATAAAATAAAAAGAATTATTATTTTGGAATATTTGAAGAAAATGAAAGAAATAAGAAAATATTGGGTTTTTAAGTTATTGGGCTTGGATGTCGTTAGTAAAGAGTGGGGGTGCAAAAGAAATAAGGATATATATTTTGGAACTTAAGTTATTTCTCATTTTTCACGATAAAATAGAATTTGGAGATATTTGGGATTGGAGCTCTGAAGAACGAAGAACAATCGCTCAAGAGTTCAAAGCTGCAATTTGATAAGGTAAGGGGGGCTACTACTCAATTTATATTTGCTTATGGGTTTAGATGCAATTGGTTGGGTAATCGTAGGATAACCCCATTTTCTCTGATGTTCTTAGTGATCGATAACTTTAGGGTCGAATTTCGTTAGAAAAGATTAGGTTCCCTAAAGGTTGTGAATCGATTAAGAAATTAATCCTTATTGTTGATTTAGATCGAAATTGTATGATCGGGAGTTTCCTTTAAGTGTTCTAAGGATGACCTTGATGTTATCAGATTTCCCCAAAAGGACGAATAATCACTTTTAAGGTTACCTTGATAATTGTTGGTAATTATAAAATTAAGTTTTTGGATTAAATGATTTGAAAAAGGGAATTCTGTTTTCCAACGATTTTAGAAAACTATAACCTTGAAGGATTTGAGTTATTCAATTTGTGGGAAATTGATGAACATAGGTCAGAGGCATAGGGAATTGATGTTTTGGAAACTTGATGTGTATTTGGATGTTTTTGTACTGCATTGCACTGTTGTAGAAATGTATTTTCGTGCAAATACGTTGGCATATGAGCTGCTGCAGGTACAGGAATTTCCGGGCTCGCGCTCATCAACACGGGCCGTGTTGATTCACACGGGCACCCGTGTTGATCTGCTGGATGGGTAAAAAAATGTGTTTCCAGACACATTTCAACACGGGCCGTGTTGATTCACACGGGCACCCGTGTTGATCTGCTGTATTGGCAAAATAACGTGTTTCTGGACACATTTCCACACGGGCAGTGTTGCTGCACACGGGCACCCGTGTTGAACCTCCTGTGTTGGTTTCTGAATTCTGTTTTTCTGTGCATGCTGTTATGTACGGATTTGATTTTGTTTTGACGTGCAGTGTTTTATATGTTTGGAATATGCTGCTTATTGATTCCCTAGTGTTGTTTGATGCTTGTATCGAATAATGTTTGTATGTTATGATACCAACACTACGCGGATATTATTGTCATGCTTTTAGATGATGTTATCAAGCATGAATTATGATATAACTTGATATGATTGGTTGATGTTTAATAGTATGCTGAGTGATTACATGCTATCCATATCCTGTTATGATTGATATTGTTGATGTTGCATGATATGTTTTCTTGATGTTAATAGTATGCTGAGTGTTACATACTTTACATATCATGTTGCATTTGTTAATTCCCATTGTGTGGAATTAACATGGTGGCCAATATACGTGTCCGCGATTTAATGGAACGTTGAGGTGATAGCCGTGTCCGCGATATAATGGAACGGTGAGTTGTCCGTGACCCGAGATATAATGGGGCGGTAAAATGGTACCACATGCATGGGTGTGTTGCATTATATTGAATATAACATGAATGGATGCTTTTCCAATGTTGTATTTAATTGATTGTATGCATGTATTGTTGCTGAATTGTTAATGATGTTTGATGTTAATTATAAGTATGAAAAGTAATATATTATGAATATATGAATTGTAAAGGTTTTCGTAAACTATGAAACATGCTAACTGTTTGGGTGATGCTTATGGTTTTCCTGAATTGATTGTTATGAACGTATAATCAAATGTATAGTTGAGATGCTCACCCTTACTGTTGAATATTTCAGATTGAGGAGCTTCGTTCAGGTGCTTGGCGAAGGCTTGTTGTTTCTAGTTTATTTCCGTTTAAGTATTGTCTGGGTCATGCTCTGATAGTTGTAATTCCGGGAACGTTTGTTTGTCGAGCTGCTTTAGTCAGACTTGTTTATTCCTTATGTTTGTTATAATATGATGTTGATACATTCCAGGTGTTAATCCCTGATGATTTTGAAAATATTATAACATTGGTTTTGTTAACTAAATTATTCCGCTGTGTAAACATGTATGAGTTGCTTCTATGTTATGCATGACAGGAACTTGTTTTTGGTAAAAAGAGAATTGTGACATCCTCGTTAATACATGTACTCTGAAAATATGATTTTAATTATTTGCGAAATTTTATGCGGGGTTTTAGAGGGTGTTACAATAGTGGTATCAGAGCATAGTCGGTCGTTGCGACCAGAGTCTTGAGTCAGTCATTTCTTTTGTATGCGGCTAGTGTAAGGCAACACTGTCGATACTGTATTCTGATGAGGAGTATGTTTTAATTCTCAGGAATATGGCTGGAAGAGGTAACGGACGAAATGATGCTGCACTCGCTGAGGCTTTGGGGATGTTAGTTGGTGTACTTGCTGGAAATCCAAATGGAGGCGTGATTGGTGCTGATAGGCAATTGGGGAACTTCCAAAGGAACAATCCTCCGTTGTTCAAAGGTACACATGACCCTGAAGGTGCTCAGAAGTGGCTGAAGGAAATCGAAAGGATTTTCCGTGTGATTGATTGTGCTGAAGATTTGAAAGTCAGATATGGTACGCATATGTTGGCAGAAGAGGCCGACGACTGGTGGGTTGCAACAAGGACTGAAATGGTTCAGGATGGAGAGGCACTGACTTGGGCTAACTTCAGAAGGGCTTTTCTGAGGAGGTACTTTCCTGAAGATGTTCGGGGAAGAAAGGAAATTGAATTTTTGGAGCTTAAGCAGGGCAATCTGACTGTTAGTGAGTATGCTACTAAGTTCACGGAATTGGCAAAGTATTATGCGCACTACAACAGTGATGAGGCTGGAGAATTCTCTAAGTGTATCAAATTTGAGAATGGTCTCCGAGATGAGATTAAGCAGGGGATCAGGTACCAGCGTATTCGTAGATTTTCTGATCTGGTGGATTGTAGCAGGATCTTGGAAGAAGATATTACCAAGACTAGGTCGTCTCACTCTCGTGGGGCTGTTGATAAAAGAGGAAAGCAACATATGGACCGTGGCAAGCCATATGGTAGAAGTAACCAGAAATCAGGTGGATGGAAAAGGCCTAGTGGGGGAGATTCTAAGGCTCCTATCAGATGCTACAGGTGTGGTGAGTTTGGTCATCATATTCGAGATTGCAAGAGTGATGAGAAGAAGTGTTATAAATGTGGAAAGACTGGTCATGTGTCTATTGATTGCAAAGGGGAGTCTGTTACTTGTTACAATTGTGGCGAAGAAGGTCACATTCGTCCGCAGTGTCCTAAACCTAAGAAGGATCAGTCAGGTGGAAAGGTGTTCGCTTTGTCTGGATCCGAGACTACTCTAGAGGATCGATTGATTAAAGGTACGTGTTTTATTCATGGCACACCTTTGGTTGCAATTATTGATACTGGTGCAACTCATTCTTTCATTTCTTTGGATTGTGCTGAGAGGTTGAAACTGGACATATCTGATATGCGAGGTAGCATGGTTGTTGATACTCCTGCATCGGGTTCAGTGACAACTTCACTTGTATGTAGGAATTGTCCTATTGAGATTTTTGGTAGAGGTTTCGGTATGGATTTAGTGTGCCTACCGCTTGAACAAATGGATATGGTTGCAAAACAGGGTTGGAAGTTTCTCTCTAAACCTCATGCTTTTGCATCCAGGATTTTTAAAGCAAGGTACTATCTGAATACTTCTTTTTTTTATTCTTCACTTGGTTATAATCCTAGCTTTGTGTGAAGGAGTATTTGGAGAACTCGAGAGGTTCTTAAGTTGGGATGTAAGTGGAGTATTGGAGATGATAGCAATATTGAGGTTATGCAAGAACCTTGGTTATGTGGTAGTGGTGAAGGGTGTATGGGTGGGCCTCAACAACAAGGAGTGTATAATATTAAGGTTAAAAATCTTATGTTGCCTAATGAGAAATAGTGAGATTTAGACATCGTAATAAATCTCTTTGATGAGGCAGATACAAAAAGAATTCTACATGTTCCCTTGTTAGAGGACATCAAAGAAGACAAGATGATTTGGAAGGAAGAATAAGATAGAGTTTATAGTGTGAGATCAGGCTACAGAATATAGCCTTTGGACTAGTGTAGTCTTTGGAACATACTATTATAAAGGAGGATTAGTGTAGTCTTTGGAACATAACAGCTCCACCTAGAGCTAAACATATTTTATGGAGGATTTGTAGGGGATGCCTTCCTACTCGAGCTAGACTCTGACAATACTTTGTGACGTGTCCATTAATGTGTCAGTTTTGTGAGTAGTATACTGAGGATGATTGACATCTTTTTTTGGGATGCAACGCTACCAATCTTTGTTAGAGGTCTTCAAGTTTGTCCAATCTTATAGATTCCCATACTCATTTTCCCATGATTTCAAATCCCTTATTTTTTATATATGTAAGAAAGAGGACAAAAAGGTAGCGGGTAGTTGCAGTTATTATTAATGTCTTATGGAAAAATAAGAATGATTTTATTTGACATAATGAACATGAAGAAG